AAAAAGAGCAAGCTAATTTAATAGCATTCTTTCCTTTTTTAAAGACAGGGTCTCAATATGTAGAGTTAAAAATCACTGTTAGACCAGGCTGGCCTCGAACTCAAAGAAATACAACCTGCCTCTGCTTCTGGAGCATCAGAATTAAAGCATGAGGCAACACATCTGGGCAAACGGCACACCTTCATGATGAAACTAAGGTTGGAACATCTCCAAATGTCTCAAAGGCAAAAGAAATTCCTGATGAAATGGCCAATAATATTTGTTTCTCTGTGTTAAGACATGCATGCTTGTCCTTATCCCCTGAGAAGTAGACTCAGATCATAGACGGGAAGTCAATACTTCACTTCAGTACATCAGGCTCCCAAATCACTTACTACACTAAAATGGCATAGAGTGGGTTCTCGGCATATCTGGCTTGTGTACCATCAGTGTCTTCACAGTTGCTATCCCCAAGAAGGAACAAGAATTTCTGTATACCATTTATTATATCCCAGAAACTGAACAGAAAATTAATAATTCCAAGGAACTGCTGTGGTTACCAGGTTTCTGATAAATTTGCATTCTTCAAATCAAAGCCTCAATAAGCCTAAACATAAAAGATGAGACAGCATTCCATTTTCTTCCAATATGTTACATTAGATTAGAATTATTCTCAGCTCCTAGATTACAACTTTACAGATACTTGCCAAAATAAACCTAGGAACGCACAGGGAATACTTCGTTGTAGGAAACGGCTTAAAAGGGGGAGGAGTAATGGCATTATACCAGAGATTATTACTTTTTTTGGAGCATTTCCAAATTTTAAGGCAGAGAAGATTACTGGTCCAAATGTCAACACAAATAAGCTCAGTCAACTCAGATTAGTTGAGTATTTCAAACTTTAACAAATCCTCTAGAGATACAGTCAGAAACAACTGGCATATCCTGGAGACTGTAAATACAGACTCTGCATCAAAATGATTTAAACTGTACTTGACATTTTTCATTCATTCAAAGCTTTTTTTTTTTAAAAAAGTGAAAACGTAAACTTCCTGAAAATGGTTTATCTGCCACCCAAGAACCACAGTAGTCTCATGTACTGCCTAATATAAACCTCAGGACACTATGGGATGTATGGTACTCTTCTTCTCATCTAACAAAGCTGACGCAGACACGCTACATAACCTCAACTAGCTATGTCACACTACTTGCATATGAAATATGAAATATGGACTGAGATTTAGAGACAGCCCCAAAGTCATGCTAGCCATTTCTTAAATTTTGGTTCCCAAACTTTTTTTTAAAGAATTGGCAAATCTCAACCAAATCTGTAATCTCTGAAGACATAACAGGAGACACAGGTAATTGATCTATTTGTGATACAACTCACAGCACACCGAAAAGAATGGCACAAATTTTCTCAAAGTTCTCACACACACAAATTTAAAAAACTAAACTCCTCATAGACATGCTGCAGACTTTGGTTAGGGGAAGGCTTTTCACATCCTTTAAAGGAGACTAATTCCCTGTGTAACTATTCTTTAAGCCCTCTCTTTTGACCATAAACTTCTTGAGGTTAGTAACTGTTCATTTTCACATCTTCCACAGTCTTGGAAGAGTATTTCATCAGAAGGCATGGTGCTATGAAACAAATAAAATTTGCCATTCAAAAAAAAATCTAGCTTATGAAAGAAACTTTTGTATAAGTCTGATACTGGAGACAAATTAACAATTTTTTGATTCTAACTTTTCTTGCCTAGGGTTTTCCAGTCACTCAAGAGCTCCAACAAACAGCTTGCAGAGCAGGCTCCATCCACACTTGCTGATGACAAAGTACCAAAAAAACAACACAGGTATGATTCCTCCACTATCTTATTCTCACCTATTGTTCTGAATGGCAGGATGACTCATTTCAGTATTCCTGCCACCTTTTAGTAAACTCTGAATCCTGACTCTTTTCTAAAACCAAAGCTTGGCTGCATTTGGGTAGGAATGCATAGATAGCTCCTGGATGCTCAGGTAGTGACCAGGACTGAGACAAAAAGCATCAGAGTTAGAAGAGGCAAGTGATTCACATGTAAAGCTCCACGGGTTATGACTTTCTTGCCCTACATGAATCAGAAAACCTACTTACTATCCATACCACTGACTTGACCAGTCTTCTAGGGAACTGGCACCTAAGTCAGACCTTATACTTCTACACTGGCAGCAAAGCATCTCAAATATGGAGATGACTAAAATTTGTCAACTGACAGGAGAAGCAAAGCAACAAGAAGCTGGCTCCTGTTCAGCAACCCCTTAATTACCACTAGGATAGTTTATGGCTAGTTATTAACAACAAATTACTGTTTCACTGGGCTTCTAGTATCTTCTCCAGGCCATTTCCATAATATAATTCATGGAACAAATAATTATGATTCTAACTGTATTCATTTTGGTACAATTTATTCTTTAGCTTGGGTGGCTCAGACTAGCCTCAAACTCACTTTGCCTTAGCCTCCCAAATCCTAGTATTACAGGCATTCACCACCATATTTGGCTCAATTTACTCTTACACTAATTTCCTTTCCAGGTGATTTCTCTTGGGATTAAAAGGAACATGAGGTATACAGTTTCCTAGTCTGCCAAGACAACTAAATGGTACTTATTTCAAACTCATTAAGGGAACATATTTAACAGAATCCACACTCTCTTCCTTTCAACCACCAAACAGCTTTTAAAAAAAGTTGTGGTGGGGTCTTTGTGGCACAGTGAGGCTCCAGAATAGTATACTAGTGATCAATGCGTAATTATAGGAATAGACCATAAACCACTAAAAAGTATACTCTATAAGGGCAACTCTTTTATGTGAATTAAATCTCAAGAAAGCTGTTTAAACAACAGAATTTAGAAAACCTAACTCAATCTATGTAGTCTGTGAATCACTGCCTTCTGGAAAACTAGGAAAAGCAATAAAACTTTGGTACCTCAAGACCTGTGTCTCATAGTAATAGTCATTTTCTTTTATTTTTTCATTCCTATTTTATAGTAAGTTCATATGAACTACTTTCATATCAAAAGAAATGTTTGTTTGTTTTTTTTAAATAGTGGAAATGTGCCAGAACTTGGAGTGTTAAACCCATATGCTTTGTGAATTGGATAAGTGTAAGTTAAAACTTAACCTTTCACTAGAAAGGTTTTCAGCACCTCTGAAAAATTCAGCAACCTAAACTACTAAAGTGAAATATTTGTAAAATACATGTAAATAGGTTCTTGTACTTTTCTACTGACAGAAATCATCAAAAAACAAAACACAAAAACTTGTGAAATAATAGTCACCAAAGAATAAATATGGTGCAGTGGGCCTGGCCCTGAAAGCCTGGGAGCCTGAGTTCATGTCTACAGTCCATATAAAGGTGGAAGAGAACCAACCCGTACAGCTGTCCTCTGGCTTCCACAAGCACAGGGGCACATGTGACCCCTCCCCCCAAAACATCATGCACACACATCCACGACAATAATTTTTAAAGGGAGAGAAATGCAATCATGTTAGAGTCCTAATGGAACACCACTGTTGTGTCTCGGTGTAGTCATATATATGACTGGAGAAAACCCTTATCTAAAATACTGGAAGTAGACAACCAACTTTTACAGATGCTCAACTTTTATACAAGTATATACAGACAGACAAGCCACAATCTTCTACTTTATTAACTATATACGAAAAAAAAAAATTCAGGGGTAGTTTAAGAATAGATAATGGCCTAGAAGTGCAAAAAAAAAAGGTGATTCCAAACCACCCTCTGTAGTCTTAACAGGTACCTTCTATTAATTTATGGTCTAGCCAACTAGGAGTGACATGTGACATTTTGAAACTTCGTGGACAATTTAAGGCTAATTTTACATTTTTGTTTATAAAAGTCTTTTAATCAACCCAATGTGTATGACTTCCAAGTTAAGTGCTGGAGAGATGATGCAAGATAGGCCTCTAAGTACCATTTTGATTGCTTGCTTTCGTCAGACACAGCAGCAAACCTCCCAGGTTTAACAGCCTCAGCAAGAGAACTGAGGTAACCACTACAAATGACGAGGAAACTGGAGTAAAGGGGGCAAAATTTAAGAACAAAGATGGTATATTTAAGCCAAATCTAGCTCTTCTTCCTAACATAACACTACTACCCTTGGAAGTTCCAGGATAATGAGCCAAATATCTTACTTAACATACACCCTTTATGTAACCGTCTCACTTAAAGGCACATGTATTCTGTTCCAAAGTACCCTGTTTTTAAGGGTCTTTCTCTTGGCCTTCAAATACTCTCATCTGGGTACAGCAGTAACAGTTGCGGAATGAATGAATGAAATAAACAATGTTCTAACTGACCAAAAGGTGGATGCTGATCTCAAAACACAATAGGCCGACAGGCCAGAATCCTGATGAAAAGACAATTTCAGAAGTAAAAATAGCAACTACCGGACACCGTGCAGTCAACATGTTATTAAATTCCCGGTGGCACCGGGAACTTTCGGGAATGAGGATGCAAAGTGTCCCTCACGGCACTTTCAAATGGACTCGGTTCTTCTACCTGGTCTGGACTGGGAAGCCAACCGCAAGACAAAGGGACAGTGGTGGAGGAAAGTCAAAAGGTCAGCGCCAGGCGCCCCTCGGAAGGCGCGGCCCGCAGGCCGGCGCGCTCGCCGTCACCGGACTCTCCCCGGCGTCGCGGCACTCACGTCCGCACAAAGAAACCGCCCACAGTCAAAACACGCTCCCCGTGGGTGCGGGAGGCGTCTGCACGGCCGCGTCGGCCAGCGCTCCGGGGGAGCACCTTCGAACTTAACCTCCCCCCGCCCCACGGCCCCCGCGCGACGTGGAAGCGGGCCGGAGCGGCGGGGCCAGGTCGCGCCGAGCGGACCACGCCCCCCGCTGCCCCCGCCGCCCGCGCTATTGTTCCCGCGCCGCCCCCGCCCCGCGCGCGTCCCCGGGAGGGGGTCACGGCCGGGGGAAGGCGGCGGCCGCCCGAGCCGCGGCGCCGCGCACTCACCCGGCAGTGCAGCCAACGGCGACCGGGAAGCCCGTAGCGGAGAGCGGCGCCGTCCCGCGGTGGCCGCGGCCGCTACTCAGCCCTGCTCGCGGCTCCGCGATCCGGCCGTAACGTCCGGCCTCGGCCGCTCCGCTGACTAACAGGGACGCGAGCCGTCAACGCGCACGCCCGCTCACGTCATCGCGCAGGGCCCCGCCCCCGCGCCTGCGAGCGGCCCGAGGGCGGGGCGGCCCCGGGGGCCCGGATTACGGGGGCGTGGCCCCGTGCCTGGGGGCGGGGCCATACTGGAGGGCGGGCTGCGGGAGCGGAGATCGCCTGAGGGCGGGGTCGTGGGCGGGTCCGGGAAAAGCCGCGTGTGAGAGGCGTGTCCGGTAGCAGCAGGAGGCTGGTCTGCGACGGCACGTGGCGGCGCGTGGCGCTGAAACACTAGTCGTAGCCTAAGACGGTTGGGTTGCTAGCCTTGCAGGGAGGGGGTGGGGGTTAGTGTTTGAAGGTTAGGCACGCGTGCCAGGGTGCACACCCAAATCACCGAGGCTCTTGCTTTGACCGACTCTCTTCCAGGGCCTACCACCCACCACCAAGTAAATGTTCTCCAGTTCCCTGGGAAAAGTTGTCTCTTTCCCCCTCCCCCTCCTGCTCTAGAGTCCTTGCATTACCTGATTTTCCTCCAAAAAGGCCTCGAGGCTCCCGCACAAATATTAGCTGTGGACTGATAAACCGACCAGCCTAACCATCCGACAATGGATGAAAAGGCACTTGAGTTACTATCATCCATGCAGTAGAATATATCTAGCATTTTAAAGACCATGTATTCAAAGGCATTGTTACTAGCAAGAGAAAGAAGCAAGAAGCCACGTACATATAGAATGATTCTACATACATATGAAATATATTCACAATATATAAAAAACACTTGGAAAGAAATATGCCAATTGTTTTGAGAGCAGGAAATAAAACGCGGTCTCTCTTACATCCGTGGGGTATCCCATGATTTCCAAAACATATAAATAAATATGTATCGAATAAATTCAGGTAGACTATGTTCCCATTACACATCGAGATGCTCTATTTCCAGTTTGCTCTATTTCTATTTGCTGGCATGAAGCAAATGTGAGCACTCCTTCATTCAGTCTTTCCCCATTTCATCTCTCCCTTTCGGCAGTTTTTTATTTCTATTCTTTATTTCTCCAGTAACTGTTTTATCACTTGCTCGTTCTCTTAAAGGCAGTGTTTTAGCGCCAACAATAAATAGAGATTATAGAGAATTCTTGTGATATGAAAATAATAGCTAAACGCAAAAGTAACAAAATTAGAATACAAGTTATAAGGATATATTAGACTATGAAAGAAACCAATATATTACCAAGGCCAGGAAAGTTTTCTCTAAGGCACTGCCTTGTGAGTTGTGAATAGGTTTGACCAGGCAGAGATTATATCAGAGTTAACTTGATGTGAGAAGGTCCTGTAATGAGAGAGCGAGAGAACCGGGTAAACTGAGAAAATTGAGGACAGGCCAGCTATGTTGGAACACCAAAAGAAAAAGAAATTACAAAAGGAAAATGAGAAGACTGAAAAAAAAAAAAAACATAAAAATCTACATTGAAATGGGAAGGTATATCTTCAGCAATGGAGAGCATGATCTTATATCTCACAAAGATTACATATTGCAAAGGGGATTTTCTAGGTCTTTCAAGATGGACCTCTTCTCCATCTACAATTTTTACTAAAAATTTTCTTCTCTCCAGAGTATTTTGCCAATTATAATTCAGAGGTACTTCAGGACACATGTGGCAGAGAAGATAGCACCCTTGCCCTGGCCTTTTCCTTTGGGTGACCTTGGGGAAGGCTCACTGTTATCCCTTCCCCCATCTGTTCCACTGGTACGTCTCTCCTTATCCTTGAGGTACCAAACTGTAGCTCATACCAGCTGGACAGCATAACTCTTGGCAGAAGGACCCCTATGATTTTCCAATCTTTGCCAGAGGTGCCTCAGTTAGAGGTGGAATTTTGCTCTTGATGACACCATTAAGTAACAGGATTTCCAACATCCCCCAGTTAAAGAGTTCTTACCTGTGGATGGCAGGATTTTGAGGCCCTCAGCAAGCGTGATGCATGTGCCTGCTGTTCCATTGCCAGGGTCCTATAATAGGACAGGATTGGTCTCACCTCCCTGACGTGGAGGGAAGCCCTTAGGCCATCTGATGCTAATGAAAAGTCACAGATCCTTCAGGAAAGTAGAGGTTACAAGGCAAATTGTTCTCTAATACAGCAGAATAATCAAGGCAGAAAACAATAAAGTACATATTTCAAACAAGCAAGTAGAGGGATTTTGAATATTCCTTAAGGAGAAGTTGATAAGGGCTGGAGAGATGGCTCAGCCATTAAAGCCTAGACTCACAGCCACAAATAGGAGTTGATGAAAGTTTGAGGAGATACTATTACACCAAGTCCCCTGATCTGATCATTACAGGTTGGATGCATATGAGAAATACTGTACTAAGCTCTAGAAGTAGGTACAATTAATATGTTAATCTTAAAAGAGAAAGTGGTTTTTAAAGAGAATTTGGTAAAGAAATCTTCAATAGGTCTTTAATACTGCTCCAAAGCACTGACAGTAACACCGTCAGTTTTGACAGCCAATATCTTTGCCTCTCTTACTAAAAAGCATACGGAATTTACTCTAAGATAAAGGTTGACATCACTGGTCAGCCTTTCCAGCTCCACAGCTTGTGACCTTGGGAAGTGGTTGGAAGAGATTAAGGTTTAAGAGCATGGGAAAGGCAGAGAGAAGAGTCGTGAGCCTTTGGAGTGTGCTTCCCTTTAACGAGTGTCACGGGAGCACAGGTGAGTGCTCTTTACTGAAGCCGAGGCATTCTACACTCCATAGTGATGGATAGGAAAAAGTCAGTACCCATCCTAGCAGAAGCAGAGACAATCTAAACAGAAACCCTGGGCCCCTCCCTGTGGCAATCAGATGACTGAAACAGTTATTCTCCAGAACTGGAATTCCCCCAGGAATTGAATGCTGGGAAAGGAATAGATGGTACACAAAGAAACCCTGTCTTGAAAAACAAAAACAAACATAATAATAATAATAATAATAATAATAATAATAATAATAATAATAATGAAAAAAAGAAAAGAAAAGGAATAGCCTTTTGAATAAGCCTAGTGCTCACTAGAAAAGAAACTTGTCCCCCAGGAAGAGATTTCACACTGTTCTGAGTTCCTGTCAGGCCACATTGCAAGGGAAACCGGAGCCCAAACAAGAATGGGTCAGTGGTGAGCAGGGCCATACCCTGATTGTCCAGGACTGCTTAGTTACATTTACCTCTAGCCTTCTATTTAAACCTAAACCCTGTGTCAGTGGAACGGGTGTCACTGAACCTTGATATCCATCTTCCCGAAGTGGCCACATTGAATAAATTTTTTTTCTGCTTTGCACTATTACTTGTCTGTTTAATTGCTTTATTGGGCACGAGTTGCTAAGCCTAGCTTGTCCAGACTTGTTAAGACCCAAGCTCTGATACTAGCAGCCCTGGTAACATTTTTTTTTTTTTCTCAAGCCATGTCCAGGAGAAAAGATAAGTTTTAAGTGTGTAGCTACTCATAGAACATTGACCCTGAATGGGCAGCAAAGACTGAATGGACTCAAGAAGGTGAGGTCCCTTCACCCCAGGGACTTTTCTTCTTCCCATTTCAGCATCAGTACTTCTTCACTTTTATTTGGGGAAGTATAGAAACAAGTGTCTAGACTTTGGACTCTTGAGAAGGTCTGATTCTTGTAAGTTTCTCCCCTATGGGTACAACTCAGGCTTTGCCTTCCTTCTTAGTTTGGGGTCCTGAGGACTAGCTTTTTTATTTTTTTTTTTTTAAGCTGTGTCAGTTCTGTTGAACTAGCTGGCTTTTTGTGCAGTTTAGAGGGCAGGGTGTCAATTTGGAAGCTTTTCTGAGCAGATTTTGCATCACCTCGAAATATCTGAGAGCTGTGTTGGTGGTTAATCTTGACTATAACTTGATGAGATTTAGAATTACCAGGGAAATCAATCTCTGAGTAGATCTGAAAGGGATTGCCTATAATGGGTTAACTGACCTTCCCTAAATGTAAATGGTATCATTCCATGGGCTGTGGTCCCAGACTGAGCAAAAAGGAGGAAGCGAACTGAGCACAGACATCCACAGCTTTCTGTCTCCTGACTGTGGGGTGGGGTGTGACCTCCTCCTACTGATGCGGAACCTTCCCCAACAGGATGGGCTGTATCCCTGGAACTAGAACCAAAATAAACCTTCTCAACTTTAAGTTGCTTTTGTCTGGTATTTTGTCATATCAAAAAGACAATCAATGAATACAAGGATTTACTTACTGTATGATAGAGAAGGCTGAAACACTCTTTCGAGCTTTGTTGTGCCATTGGGGTACTGTGGAACCATTGAGACAAGGTTGTTAAGGAGGTTTCTACTGTGATTTGTGTAACTACTATGGAAACTACTAAGTCTATCTCGCTTGGTACCAACCAGAGAAAGTTCTGGATGAGTAGACTTTTGTAAATGTATGGCTTCTTTAAAGGTTTGTTTCTTATTTTTAATTATGGCTGTGTGTGTGTCTATGATGGATAAGGGCACCTGAGTGCAGGTGCTCTCAGAAGCCCAAGGTATCAGATTATCCTGGAGCTGAAGTTACAGGCAATTATGACCAGGCACACACAGGTACTGGGACCCAAACTCACTGAGCCATCCCTCTAGCTTCATAAACTTCTGATTTCTAAAACACCATGTGGTAGAGTTTAATCTGTTCCTGGAGTTTCTGAAAATAACTGAGTTGCAAATCTGTGGCCACCTTATTCTTTAATTATTTTTGAACTTACTGTATGCTAACATTGATATTCTTGGCACATATAATTTGAAGAATGTGTATGTTTTACACAAATGTGAGTATTTGGGACCATTAGGTGAACTATGTTAATATTAACATATAGGAGTGATGCATCTGCTTACTTGTTTTCTTTTTTTGGCAAAAGAGATTAACTAAAATGCAAGAAATTGGTCTGGGGAAATGGCTCAGTGCACAAAGTACTTGCTATGCAAGCATGAGGAACAAAGTTTAGCCCCCATATAAGAGCTGGGCC